AATATTTGTGCTTTGTTCTTCACTATGTTTAATAATGTTTAAAATATTTGCAGATTATTGGAAATTAAGTGCTCAAATTAAAGTTGATACATTCATAGGGGAATTCCTTAATGATATTGAATTTTATCAAGGGAAGTACAAGAATCTTTTCAAAGCTGTACCAGTTCATGAAAGTATTAGAAAATCATTATCATTAGTGACCTTATACTATTGCGTTCAAGAATTCAAGGTATATAATTAATAATTTGTTCAAAAGTTAGAAACATACTTATTCTATTATTTTTGTAGGAATGTACCAAGCACATTTTTGAAGTAATAGATCAAATAGAAAGTCTTAGCTTGTATGGAACTGTGTCTACAGAAATAGCTAATCCACCTGAAGTTAGAGAAATGTATTACATTCAAATAGCAAAATTGCCTGTTTTACAGTATTGTGTTAAGATAATGGTTCAAATACTCTATGTGAGTATTACTTAGATTTTAATGGTTTTATTTGAATAATTTTTTTATTATTATTACAGTTGGGTTAAATTTATACTTACCTATATAACATTCAAAAATAAATTATTTTTTAAATTTAGAATCAACTTTCCAATTATCCATCAACTAGTGATATTCTTATTGGTCATCTTTTAGTATTGTCTCAAATGGTTTGGCCTGACGGCAAAGCAATTGCTGAAGATATGTATAACCACATAGGAAAATTGTCCTTGTTTACATATCCTCAATTTTCATCTTATATTACTAACATAGATATCATTGAACACTTTATGGCTATGTTTATGGAAAATGATAAATGTGTCTTAAATGTATTTCCATGTGTAGCTTCTTTGTTAAGGTAAATAATTATTTCTTATACATTAATTTGTATTTTCCATTCTAAAAATATAACTGATGATTAAATAATAATTTGTAATCATAGTTCACGAATATCAACCAGAGGAGCTGGCAAAGAAGTAAAAGAAGAGTTTCGGTCAGCATTGAAGAAACAAGTAACACGATGGTCTGAACCAGTGGATGAAACTATGTTGTTATTTTTTAAGAATGAAAGAGAAAGTTTAATGAAGACCGCTACTCTTATGTAAAAATCATTAATTTTTTAAGAAAGTACTGATCCTTAAGTCCTATAATATTTGTACTTCTGGGTTATCATGACTTCCAAATTATTAGAATTTAGTTCCAACTCATTTTGTTAAATTAAATGATTTTTGAATTTGACCATAAGTCTGTAATATTGTTCGATAAAATAATAAAGGCAATATTTAACGGTTTACACAACATGAATCACAGAAAAGAGATTAAAATAAATAATTAACAAAAATTTTGTATAAGATACTGCATTTTAGCTCAGTCCATAATAATATTTACGAAATTTAACAATCAATTTATATGCTATAATCATTATGTTTAGCATTATAATATAATTAAATACAATTCTTACTTGCAATATTTTTGCTGAGTTTCGATAACTTTTACCAATACTAAGGACTTAAGAGTAAGAATCAATAAAAAAGAAAGATATTTTACTAAAAAATGTATTTTATCTTTTTATTTTTTATTTTACTATAAGCCTTATCGTCTTACTATAAAAAGTATAATGTACTTGGCGTTTATGCAGTTATAATCTTTTTTTTTTTATCGTGCTGTTGCTACGTGGAGGTGAACTGTTTGTACAATACCTTAACATCATAATTAATTCTAAAATACTTAGAATAATATTTATCTATTTTATAAATTGATATAATATGAAACTTAATCATTCTATATAATATTACATAATTAAATTATTACAATTGATGATAACATTTAGTACTTGGAACTTGATTACAAAAATTTAGTATAGTAACAATAAAAACAATAATTAAAAATTATTATTTAGTTGTTACTATGATTATTTCTAAAAACTGATCAAACTTAAGTAATTTTACTTCATTGGAATAATTGATCTGGTGAAATATTAATTATAATGTACATGATGTTTGAAAATGTTAATAAGTTGGTTAAAATTTGTTGATTCCCAATATCTGTTCAAAAACAAATAAATAATAATCATCAATAAATTAATTATTACTTATTAGTTATTAGTATTGGATTTTTCAATTGCACTAATCTCACTTACTGTCCTAAAGGTACTTTAAATATCAGTCATAATTTCATGTTTATGATCAGTACATGGAAACGATAAATTTGTAACATGCAGTAAGAATTTGTTATAAGTATTTTCAAACACATCAACTGAACTTGCATGCTTACAAAAACAAGTCTCTAGAACTTGTAATATTTTAAATAAGTTGTTGTTTGGATAAATTAAAAACCTTCTATTTTTAAGATTGACTAATTCTGATTCCTTCCTTTTGTTGCCAGTATAATTTTTTACACTTTTAATGCATACCTCACATTTGGATTTTTACATAGCCGCTTAGCTAAATACCTACGAGATTAAAAAAATATCAGTTATTTACTTGATATTTATTTATTTAAAAAATATTTTTTACCCTCCTAAATAGTACACAACACATTCAAAAACTGAACTTTTGGAATAATCATGTTCTAAAAATAAGTCCTCACAGTCCCGCTTGCCCTCTTCTACGCAAGGCAAATTAGTATGATTCTAAATCAAAAATCGGGGGGTTAATAAATAATGTAAAGAATATTGATAAGTGAAAATAATATAAAATAGAATAGTTTGCCGTTCAACCGCTGGAGCGTTAACTGTAATTCTCACAGTATGGAACAGCTGTTTCTGTGTTTTAAACATTAGGCTTCAACAAAAATATGGTTTTGTATAGAGCGTTGCTCAACCTGTCTATCTTATATCGTGTTTTGAACAGACTATAGTTAGCTTTATGCATATGTATCATAATATGATTTCAGGTTGGGCAAGCAAACACAAATTTTTGCTAAAAACTCCGACTGATTGGAATAAACCGTACAAATTTTCTTGGTCGAAATATTTGATAGAAAAGAATTCAAAATTTGCTTTTGTAGATAATTTATGCAGAAAAAAGATTACCAGTGTTCATATAGGTATGAAATTAGAAGCTTTTGAATACTGACTGTATTCGTGTCGCTACAGTTAAAGGATTTGCTGACCATTGGATGTTGTTATCTTTCGATCGTACGAGTTGGTAATGCATTTGAAAAATAAAAATTTAGTAGAAATTAACTGATGAATTATATGTTCTATGAATTTAGTTGTCAAGAATTACTTCATCTACGTTCAGTTTATTCAGATGAAGTTTTTCCAGCTGGTTAGTGTAATAAACACACATATTCTTTGAGCTTTTCAAAACTTCCGTACAATGATTCTAAAGATTTTGAACATTATTATTATTCATCGGATGTTGGTGTAGACTTCAGTCAGTCAGACCAAGATAATTTAACAAAATACCCTGATTATTTAAAGGGAGAAATCTTTTATCACTTTAGCAAAAGGTATACATTTTGAAAGTTGCTTATATTTTTTGTTGATTTTGTTTGTTTTATTAATTTAAACATCGTTTTAGAGAGAAAAAAAGTTTTGATAATGGTTTTGAAGAAAAAGAAGAAGAAAGTTATGAAAATGATATGAAAACTGAAGATTCTGATTCTGATTCCAATGATAATGTATCTATGACTTCAGAAATAGAGATTAAACAAGATAGTGATGATGAATGTGATAAAGGTCTAATTTTAGATACTAAAAATGAACCTGAATTACATGAAAAATGTCATGATGAATTATTCTATGATGAAAAAAATGATATTAAACCAGAGGAAGTTGATATTAAACCAAAAGAAGTTGATATTAAACCAGAAGAAGTTAATAATCAACTAGAAAAAGTTCATAATAAAATAGAAAAAATGAAAAATGCAAAAGTGGTTAACCCCCCCAAAAATAAAAAAGTTAATCATATTGAAAAAACAATAGAAAAGAAAGTTAGAAATTCTTTGAATATGTTTTCTAAAAATAAATATGAAATGAAAATTTACTTAAACACAGATTGTTATTCTGGTTTTCGTATTAAAAAATCAAAACATCAAAGCTTACCAGATAGCATTGGTCCCGGCCCTGTATCCTCAATATTACAGAATGCTATAACCCTATTTATTCATTTAGATGAGGATCCTTTATCCACATTGGAGAAAATTCAAAAAACTCAAAATTTATTATTTAGCGGACCTGGAGGTGTTGAAAAGTTGATTTTCACATGGTAAGTACTTCAACTTATGATCATATTGTAATACATATAAAACCAAATAATATGAACTTATTTAATTTAAGTGCAACGAAAACTAGAATTTGTACCTCTGTGAAACTTCTTTTACCTGAAACTAAGGAGATGGCTAAAATATATTGTTCTGCCCTCTGTAATCTATCCGGCATGTGTGAATTCTGTATTACCAATGAAAAAACAAAGTGTACTCGTGGTTGTACACAAAAAAAATGTGAGTGTAATTACTATGTTATATAAAATAGTCAATGCATGTCTTACATTAAAAAAAATTATGATAATGATATTTAATAATAGTTATTGTTTAATTTTTCAAATTCCAAATTTTATAAATAAAAATAACATAAAGGTAAAACTAATACATTTCCGTATAACTGTAATTTCTAATCCTTAGCTAACTATTAAATAGAAATTGTTTATTAACTACAGTACTGACTACTGTAATTTAGTTAATTCCATTAAAATAATATTTTACATTTTGAGCAGGAATTCTTATAATTCTAATAATTGGAACAATCTTTTATCAAGTACATACCAAATTATCTTTTACCTATTTATTTTTATTTCTTAAGAGGTCAATTAAACACCAACCTATTATGTGCTGTCTACGACTTATAACATTTTTTTTTCGGTCAGCAGTACCAATTTTCGGTTGTTAGTTTTAATACAATCATGTTTAAATTATATTATAGTTCAACATGAAAAATATATGTTAAAACTTTCACTGTATAATTTTGTTGGTTTTTATTTACGGTATTTTATTATAAGCTAGTTATGAGCATTTTTAAACATTAATATTTATGAATTGCATAAAAATAAAAATATCTTTATACAAACCTTATGCATAGTTAACGTTCTTGCCTTAAACTTTAATAATAAAACATTTCGCACTGAAATTAAAGCTAAAATCACAAAATTGGTGCTACCGAACGACTTTGTTATGTTGTATATTTCTTGTATGTTATCTATTAGAATATAAATATAATTACATAGTTATTGTGTTATATTAAAGATAATCAAATCTTCCATGTTTACAGTAAGTCGGTCAAAACTTAAAATCAATACTGTGCCTATAAGTAAGAAAACAAGAAAAAATAAGCATCGAATTGGTGTTGGTGCTGTAAGATCTAACAATATCTCACACCATCAAATAACTCGTCCAGGAATTGTTAGAGTTGGTAAGTATTAGATTATTGTTGTATTCGTTACAAATAACTTTTTTATTTTCAACTATTCAAGTATTTTAAATTGTTATAATTTTAAAATATTTATAGCTAACAAACTATTAGATCAGTCAAATAAACCTTTAGTTGCAAGGTATAAGCATTATATGGGGAGTATAATGGATTTAGAAGAACATGTATTACGATTAAATGAGTGCCCTACTGAACTGGAATCATCTATTATAACTGAAATTATAGCAAAAAAAAATAAGCTTAAGATGATGGATAATATGCAAATTTTCAGCAATACTAAATCTGAAGTTGAATTTTTATGTGCGTTTGAAGTTTAAATTTTTACAACATTTAATGTTCACTCGATTTTTCATCTAGCGATTTTCTTACTCTGTTGTAATTAAATAACAAATTACTGTAAACACTTTAAATTTACACCAGATGTTTACTTCATCAATTCTTAAATTTGATTTAATTTTCAAAATATTTTAACTTGTTTTTAGCTGTTTTTGAACTGTTTCAATTTTTTAAGTTTTTAGTTTTTTTTTCTATAAATGTCAATACAGTTGTATTTGTTGAGTCAAAAAGCATGACAATTTAATACAAGATTCTTGATATATTGTTATAATAGCAATTGAAAAATGTTAAAAATACATAGGCATGATTTTTCCTCATAAGCATTTAATGCTCAAATTTTGATAATATTTATCAAATTGAAAATTGAAAATCATTTTGTAGTTGAAAATGTATAAGATTTTTAATTTTTGTAACTAAGGATTGAAAATTTAAAACAAGGATTCACTTAAGCAGTTTTTTCCGTAACTAAAAAATCTAAAAAATATATAAATACAGTTATTCTATACAGACATTTTAAGACTTTTCAAAAAACACTAATTGTTCTGAACGATGATTAATAGAAAATGACCCTCCTGAAATTAGGTTAATAATTAATAGCCGTTATCTGGGCGGCTGAACGATACATACCCAAATAATAAATAAAACTCAGCAGATTGCAAAAATCTTGTGGAACATGGTATGAATAGAAAAAATGCTGTGGCTAACAAACCGAACAAAACCAAGTTACAACCATGCTGCTGTTTTGAGAGCAAAAAAAAGACAAAAAAAAGAAATAGTAACACAGCTAACAACGATTCTATAAAATTGGAAAATTAAAACAATTGAACATAGGAACGAACCTCCAGTGCGGCTAGGCAAAGTCCCTTTTTTATTTAAACTATTATCCATACCCGCTCAAAATAAAATCATAATTACACTACTGTCCCTAAGCCTCCCCTACATACGCCACTGCGGGTTACTTGATCATCATCAAGGGGGGGTACGAAAAACGATGGATTTTCGATTATGGCGGTATATGCATTTCGTCTTTCGCACCCGAGAGGTGACTATGTAGCTACACACAAGTCGGGTCGTTATCGAGTATACATTAGTGTTGGTCCCTTGAACGTTTTAGTATAGACTAAGACTACACAGTATACGTAGATTCGATTATGGTTATCCGACTAGAAGTTATAATATACTAGTAGTGAAGTATCAAGATGAGTATAAAATATTTCAAATGCGTCATCACTCATCAGTTGAAAATATTATTTCATAAAATCATAACAGATGAAAGTTAATATAATTATTGGGTTTATAAAAAAATGATATGCTTTTGCATGTAAAATAAACCAACCGACCTCAGTGTTATTTTTCAAAAAAAAATGAAATGAGACGAGTGATAGGTAATGATAATTATTACCTAGTTACTAATTTTTCTTAATTGATTACTGCGATGTTGGTACCATTCGCTGCTAGCTTCGTAGCAAGGTATATTATTAGTTTAAAAAATAGATACTTTTCATATAAATTTCATTTTGTTTCTAGTTTTTTAACATATTTTTTTTACAGTAGAAATAAAATAAAATAGCGGGGGGGGGGGGCGTATTCCATTTTTTTGAAGTCTCCTGGACCTAAGACTCAAGCCTCTGCATTGCCGTTTAACAATTAAACTGAATAATATACTCGGGCATTTAAATACTTCTTGTACCTATTTCTTCGTTTTTAACAGTTATTGAAGCACCAATTTTTCATTTTAACTTTCAAAATCATTATTAATTATACAACGTACAATATTACTATATTATTATAACTATAGGTTATATTATCACAAAACGATACATTTAGTATAATAGTTTATTGTAAAATAAAGCAGACGATAATAATATTGTATTATATATTAGGTTATATTTTATATCAATATACTTTTTTCTACATGGAACAGATTTTAAACAACAAATCAACAAACCAGCATTAAAATATATGCATTAGGCTTAACACAAGACCTACATTTATTTATGTATACATCAACGAATTACGAATACGCTCCGGTAATTATATTTTATTCTTAGGCGGGTAACATATAATATATTAATTTAACATGACAATAAAAAAACATTAGGTATGCATTTTATTGACTATGAGTTCGAGTATTGTAATCTGAATGAGAACTATATTCGAACTGCCATACATAATAATAATCAAAATAATAATAATGTTCATTTAAACAGTATATAGTGGTATTACCAATAATATGTAAGATTATTGTCCTCTTATTGTATAGCAATAAGAGATCAGAGAAGAAAATAACAAACGCTTCATCAGTGTTATACAATGCTGGGGGGAATTACATTCTAAAATAGTCTATACATCGATGACTTAGCGCAGGCATAACATAAATCACAATATGAAATTATTCAGGAACATCAAGTGAAGTTTCTTCGTTATTAGAAATTAAAAAAAATTTTTTATGAAATCAATTACAACTTTAAAGGATAAAATAACCCATAACAAAAAATACAGAAAATTTAATATTTAATTTGAAGCTCTTAGAGAAAAATGTTTAGAAAATACAGACATATAATATTATGTGCGCAGTGAGCACTATCAACTAAGCCATCGATATCATCAATGACAACTGTAATAAACTAAATGGGGTAGGGTATTATAATATAATATAGATATAATGATATATTATACTATCGTATCATATAGTATAATATACATAGGTAACATGATCAACAATAAAATAATTATTAATAATATTCAACACGTTACGTTTTTAAAATTTTAACAGTAATTATAATATAATAGAATATGTCTAGCTATATTTAATATATATATATATATTAATTATTGTAATACATTAGCACAGTTTGTTGTACTGTGTTTATATTATAAATTTGTATATATTTATTTAATAATATTATTATAATAACGACTATAAAACGAAAATAAAACAGTGTATAATATATAACATCTAGTAAGTAAGTAGTGTTTCAAAAATGTTTAGTAATGCTACTAGAAATTATGACATATTCATTAGTTTATGTTGACTCAGTATGTTTTAGATTGGTATTATTATAATAATAATAAATAATATTGCAGTGAAAAATGTTATTGTATTGTCTTGAACTCGTCATCACAAGGGGCACAAGAAGAGTAGGTATATAATATCATTGAAATAATATTTCAATTTTAATAGTACAGTATCTTATTGTATATTTTATTATTCATTATTATTATATCAGTTAAATGTCATAGACACTTTCATATAATCACTTTGTTAAAATTATTAGTACAACAAACGGACTATGAAGTCCATTCTCCGTTTAAATTGACTGGCGGTTTAGAAGGGCAGTTGAACAATTTAATATTGTAAGGTAATATTAATATTAACATAATAATAAATCAGGCGGGGAATAATATTGCTATTGTGTGATCGACTACGATCATGGTATCATATTATTGCAGTATTTATCTAAGATACATTTCACGCCCGGAGAAACAAAAATCGCCTTTACAGACATTTTTCTTTTTTTACTACATACCTACTAGCTACTATATAATTTATACTTCCGAATTATGTACTATAAATATAAATAAGACATAACGTTGGTTATAATATGTAATCGATGCTCGGCGGACTATTATATTATAACCTATATAGGTATGATACATATAAATAAATAACACAAAAAAACTAAATATATAATAGTAATAATATTAGGGGGAAACAATAACACACTGGGGAATCGGTGAAATCGATTACAAAATTGAATACTGTAAGTATACCTCTAATTATATTATAGTACCTAAATTACTTAAACCAGGAGGACCAACGTATAACTGGAAATGTGCGTGTACTACGGTGCTGCAAAATATAGGTATTTTGTAATGTTTCAGCCAACGGATAGAGTGGGCGATATTTAAACATTACGTTTCCGCACACTTATTCATATGTCATCAAATACAGCAATAGCAGCCGGTTTGGAATGTTTAAGTGTTGTAATTTCGAGCCGGAGAGTGTTATTATAGTCTCCTCAGATATCTCCAGCCACTCATTTTAGTTTTGAAAGTTCAAGTCTATGGCACTGTCAAGATGTGAATCTACGCAATACAGCAGCCAATAACAAATTGAAATCTTAAACTGGTTAAAACCACAAAAGCTAAATGACGACCGATTAGTGACGAAAAAATGTAGGTGTCAGGTACCTACGGTATAAAAAAATATTATATCTTGTACCCATTGTGAAGTATGTGTAGGGGAAAAAATTGGGTGGAAGCCTATCAGTACTCAAGATTTGATGAATGACTTGGAAAACGCGCATGGACCACCGAGGGGCGCCAACTTAGAATAGGGTTCAGCGAGAGGGTGCACCGATAAAGGAGAAAGTTTTACGAGATTGATTAACAATAGATATTGTAATATATTATGATGATTAATGGAGACGAGTTGGAAGGTGTGCAAACTTTGCACTTCAAAAGATATTCTGACGGATCGTGTAATGGCAATAATAATATTATGTAATTATAAAGAAAACATTCTCTTAAGTAATAATAAAGTGATTAACAATACTGCGATATCTTATGTAATACTAATCACACGCGTAAGTGAGCGTACTAATAGTAATAAATATCGCAGTATTGAATATTATCTTAAATATAATATCAATCAATATACAAAAATGTGCAATAATTATTATGTGAATAAAAAGTGCGAAACATGTTAAGTGCATTTGAAGTAACTACTGTGCTACTAGTATATATTGTATATTATAATATTGAGTAAAAAGTTAAAAATAGTCTTGTATTTGTATTGAATAATATAATAATAAGATAAATGTTCAAGGGTGTCCATTTTTTTTTAGAAAATTAAAAAAACGATATAGGGATAAAAAAAAATACGATATAAAGGACATATTTGCAACAGATTTTAACACTTTTCGTGCTTTTAATAGTCATATATTAAATATAAAGGGGGGAAACCCGTGAGCGGGTGTGCAGGACTTCGTGTAGTGTCAACTACTTGTCATCTGAGGACGCCCATGATTATGTTATTATTATATCAAACACATTATATACGTGTTTGTAAAAGTAAAGAAAGTAAGTCATAAGTGCATAATATTTTGAAGTGCGACAGTGCGAATAGAAAACTTTTGTGCAAATGTGCGAATAAATTGGTGCAGAAAAACAACGGTGCAGATAAGAGAAAACGTGTTGAAAAACATACAAACGATTTGAGATCGGGAAAAAGTTTGTAGATTTTCTTCACTGCGGTGATTTTAAAAACATGCAAACAAAAAATGTATACCTGGACGCAAACGAACCCGAACCGAAAAATCGAGTACAAAAAGTTAGATAAACCGTATAACCAACAATCGAACTTTATATTACTCTAAACGTAAACGATTTTTCGTTTCGAATATTGTTCACTTTTTGTGATTAACTTTAGTGTACCAAGCCGTGACGGATTGGTAAGTTGAAGTTTTATCATTTATTATTGCCATCATACGATCGAAAAAAAAACTTATTGTGGTCGAACAATTATCTGGAGGTACCTACCCTATTTGCTGTGAGATGAAACTATAAAAGTAAAATTCAAGACACATTCAAACGAACAATCTACCCTCTTGGTTTTGACGGGTCACAGGTGAGATTTATTCAAGCAATATTATACAATAACTAAGACTTAAAACGATGTTACATTAGCGTGTGATTGTAGTTGAACATAAGTGATCAATCTCATTAGGTACATTATTATTATTATTATTATTGTTGTTACAACACACGTACTCGAGGAAACTACTGTCAGTAAATTTCCATTAAAACACAAATACACAACGGGGTCTTAAAAATGGTGATTAACAAAAAAAAAATTAAACATTCGCGAGTTGCGACCGACGAAAAGTCGTTACTTAAAAGGAAACATAATATTATAATATATATATATAATATAACGTGTGGACGTATAATAAATACAATACAATAATATGCTCACCATTTATTTTAACCACTACAACTACAATAACAATAACAACAACAACAATAATAATAATCAAGGGAAACCGGGGGTAAAGCTTATCGCCTATTTTTAAATTTAAAACGTAAAACTACTAATGATTACGCGAAACCATCATCTACACATATTACCTACCTACTATAAACGCAGCACACGCCATACCTAATATTTTTATTATTATTACTGACAGCGGAAATAGAGCCTTTGACCGGGAATCATGATATAGCGTCTACTAAATCATAACACAATAATAACTATAATAACTAGGCACCTATACATAATATTATAGAGACTAGCAGAATGTATCATTAAACGTTTTTTTTCTCCTCCTGACTTAAAGGTCTTGTCCCAGGCGATCCAGTTCGGAGAGCAAAAAGTCGACGTCCTCCTTGGTGACCGCGGCGCTGGATATGATGTTCCGGAAGAAGTTCGGTATCTCATTCAGTGGCTGATATCCGACCATCAGAGTGCCGACTTCCATCATTTTGCCCTTCAGAATCGGCGTGATCTACGACACATATTTTACATTAGGTTTAAGTTAGGCGTTATTTAGTATTTGTAGTAAATATTTAGGTACACTTTAATGGTACGATTAAAATTATTTATGAGTAGTATTAGGTATTCGAGACGAATCGCTTCAAAACTTCATATTATAATGAAGATGGTATATTTTCCTCCCAAGGCGAATAGTTTTTACTATTAGTAACTATACCTGTTATTATACTTATAACTTATTACAAATTACAATAAACAAGTATATATTATGCCTACAGACCTATATAGTTTTACCTTTTAATATTTGGAACTACATACATTGAAAACACTAAAAAATGTTTTCTATTGTTTTCTTTTGAATTTTAATTCATTATTACTTTGAAAATTGTAAGTTAATAATATAATCGAAATATACATACAACTATACAACTATATTAACTTATATAGATTTTTTTCAAGGTTTCCTTGATTTTTAAAAAAATTTTCATTGGCTTCAAGCATTTTCTTTTAAATGAATAATGTTTTTTTAAACATGAATCGAAATAAATATAGTTTCAATATTTTATATTGTTCTTAATGGCAAATATATTATTTATAGCATTTAATTAGAATATTTAATTGAGCTAGTCAAACATTAACATTAACAGTATAAAACTATTAACATACCTAGTTATAAATTTATTAAAACTTAGTTTATAGTACCAAAATAATAAGGAGAGAAGTAATTTTAACTTTGATGTAGGTATCTACTATCTATACACTTTCAGCTACGATGGAATTATTGCATAATTATTTTTAGGGTGTATAATGGGGCGACACCGCAATATAAAGGGACACTGTGATTTGTTATGATATGTTTAAACAGGCTTATCGGAATTATTGTTTACACAGTAAAAATAATAAAAGGGGTAACACGTTTGTAACCAAATGTCTATTTGAATTCCACGCCATCTTACTATGTATTATTCTAATAAATAGTAATAATCGTGCTATGCATAAGTAATGAGTATTAACTGAAAGCATTAGGTATTGTATTTTGTTTGTGAAACTGATTTAGTTTTAATTTCAAAGAAGATTACGGTCAATGATTTTAAATTACATATTATAACGAAAATATTTAAATAATAACTACGGTTATAGCATACACCAATTCTGGTGTATTCATTTTTGGATTCTAAAAAAAATTATTAATCCAAACTCAGAACAGCGATATGTTTAGTTAACATCCATTATTTACATTATTATTGATATCATTATTATGTTGATTGAATTCTATAGCACAATTTATTTATATAATCGTGTTATTTTTTATCTAAAGACAACACCTTTAATAAACCTATTAATAAATAGAATGTACAATAGTAGGTAAAAACTATTAAGTATTATAAATGAGATAATTAAACAAGGCAGAGTACATTAACAATAAATTATATAGTTTTTCGAAAAAAATATGGTCACATTGCGGATCAGGCATTATTGTTGATTTTTGTGTGTGATTTATTAGTCATAAACATCTAAAGTCCTAACCTAACCAAACAAGTTCCAAAAATTAAGCTCTCCAGTCAGTTATAACTTATATCAAATCTGCGTCATCGAGTTTATACGTATATCGTATATTATGTATAAATACCGAAAATTGACAGTTATTGTTCGATTCAGTAGTACATACTTTAGATATTATGTATTTATGTTGTATTCATATTTTTAAATTTAAAACTGTTAGAATTTGATTAGGTAAAGAACTCGTACCTGGCCAAGACTTTCTGCTCGTTTCGCCGAGTGTGGGATGTTCCGCAGGCGCTTTGGCACGTACCAAAAGCTGACGTTCACCATTTCCGGTTCGAGGATCAAATAATATTTGTCTGGCGATGCCTTAATTTTCTCCACCATATATTCACTGAGTTCCATCAAGTGGTCCATGTGTTTTTCGAAACCTTCGGTACCCTGGACGTGACACGGTAGAGTAGAGTGCGCGTCGGCCGGGAAAAAAAATTACATCGGAATTAGGTCAGTGTGGGAAGAACGGTAAAATTTACCAACTAAAATCGAACAGTTGTTATACCCATACCTTGGCACGCCATTGCAGCCAAAGTTTAAACACATCGTTGTGACGACCACACTGTATTACTTTGTCACCTGTATCGTATTGGATGTCGTATAGTTTGTCTTGCATGAACAAGTATTCCGCGCTCATTTGGTTGCAGCTGATCAATAGTCCCTGAAATAATATTATTATGTGACATTTTATTATGATTAAGTATCGGCCATCTCAAACACGATGTAGTTTTCAAAGGGATAACGCGTATAGGCAATTATCAAACTCGTATACTTGCATGACTGCGTAAGTAGCAATTTAATCATTTTAAAATGTGTGAGAGGCCTGCCATAATTATACTTGCATACGCGTTATAATTTATAATATAATAAGTCATTAATGACCATTGTTATAAAATATTATTTATAACAAACAATGACACACGGTCAGGTCAATTGGACGGCAAAACACTTATTTATGAGAATTATTACTTTGATTTCAGAAATGATAAAAGTTGATTTCAATATTGTTACATAGGTTTATGAGTGTCTGGTAGAGGATCATGTTTAACGTCGCCGAAGACGATTTTTGTTCAAAATCTCAAACTCGTTTTAAGGGACCTATCTCAATACCATCTGGAAATGGTGGCCTAAAGTTTTGTCATGATAACAATTATTTTGAAAACTATTGTCAGTGTTATTGTACGTGGGTGATAGGTTGCAACGTTTTAAACAAAGAAAACGGTTTTTTTTTTATAAAAATACACTAACTGCGGCACTGAGGTGTGGGTTTTATCAAGGTATATGGGTTAGGTTTATTGATTACAGCTCATTATATTTTCTGTTTGTATAACATGTCTGTATACTTCGTACTTGATTCAGATTGCAAGCATAATGTAGACTATAAGTAAAATAAATAAATATGACGTAGTCTATATTAAAATTAAACAACAACATTTTGTACCTATATGAATGAAAATAGGTCAAATATGTAAATAATGCATGCATTATGTATTTTATAGGTACTTGTTGTGTATTTTTGGTTTATAACTCATACCATAATGCCAACAATAATAAATAAATTTCCATGGAACTTTAAAATTACATTAGCGAAGATTTAAATGCTAAAACCCAGAAACAGGTGCAGTTACTACATAAAGCTTATAAAATTATTTATAAATGATTTTGAAATGAAAACACAAGATTTATGTGTTATAGGTAAGTATATATGATTAAAGTTCTAGTTTTAAGTAGGAAAACATTGCTGTATAGAGTCATATGTAAATGCAATACGTTTGTACATTGTGTAGAGTGATCATAAAATAATAAGCTTAAAACGAGTACGTCAGTGTCACACACAAGGGGCAGCTTATTAATTAAATTATATTGCACGATTAAAAAAAAAACTAAAACATAAAATTCTACGGATTAAATTTCCATTTATCTCTTATGAGTTATGGAGAATAGTTATTAGGATTAACATTTTGTTAGTTTCTGCGAAAAACAATTTAAAGTTTTTTTATACAATGTATTCTATTTTCTAAAAATTATTAAAGAACTCTGTGATATACGTTTTTTGGTGTCGACATATTTGGGACATTTATTTTTAATTTATACAGAATTTCGGACACACAGCTTTGTTTTAAAGCTATATAAATTTAAGTTTTTAATTTGAAAACTGTCGACTAATGTAAAAAAAATACCAAAGCAATATTGTTTAATATACGCAGTACCTATATATTATTATAAAAAGGTTTGTTAATAAATTAAAAGTTCAAATAGTTTAACACAACTTGTACTTAAAATAACAATACTCAGAATACAAAAAAAAAACCTTCAGTGCGAAATATATTTCTGCTTTGGTATTTATAACATTTTAAATTCTAATAATATTCCATTTTCACGAGAGATAATTTCTATGGTTTTTCTGTCAGACAATTATTAACAATTACAAATTCAACTGTAACCTTGTCAATTTTCGTCCTACATCTTGTTTATACTTATATACTAATCAGGGTTAGTGTGAAATTATTTACAGATGATATCTTAAAAATTTCGCTCTAAGCCTTGTACTAATGCTCCCACTAAATTATATAGTATTATTGTTACTTTAACATATTTTATATAAAACGTACCTATTTTATGCGTAATTGCACAACAATTATAATTATTGTAACGAATAATATGTCCATCATTGGTTAAGTAATTTATAATTATTTATAGTTGACTCTAATATAGTATTGTTTAATGTTTAACCGAATGTAAATAACTTCTTTAAATTACCGGGTATTATTTTTTTGGTATAGTGCCTATAATGCCAAAACCAACAATAATATTATGTAACCTATAGAACGAATATTAAAACAATAAATATAATTTATTATATACAGACGAATCGTGGGTATTGAACACGTCGTACAATTGAAATTAAGCCCATAAACTTTATACGATTTTATGTGAATATAGCTAACATACTATTAATTATTATTATGATTTTCATCTATATATATATTATAATTTATAAGGATTAACTGTTAACGATTATTAATGTTTTAATACTCACAGTCTCTCGGAAATGTATTGTGGAGCACTGGAGTAGGGTTCCCATCAATTTGTGCGGATTCCAAGTCACCGAGTTGGCCCTTAAATAAAACAAGAACAACTAAATATTCTTAATATTATGTATTAGGGTTCGAAAGTTGATAACTATTTTTTTTCATTTGTTCGAACGTCCTAGATGATTTTTAAATTTCCTAACCAAAAATGTACATAACTATTTTTCACTGGTTGACTATATAAAACGACGTAACCTTATTCCACGGAACTGTATATAAAAATATTTCAGAATTTTAAATTTTACTTAGGTACATATAATAGGTATAAGTAAAATAGGTTAGTAACAAATTAAGATGAAGTTTACAAATTAAATTTTAATACCTAAGTAACTATTTTTAAATTTCATTAAAAATTTGTTTTTCTTTGTTTGTTGATTGTAAATAAATAAATGAATTAAGTAAGTTACGTTTTTTAAGTCATTAACTTCCTATCCCAATAATGATAAAACACAATCTTTGAACGATTTTTGTTATTATTATTATTATTAATATTATTTATTAAACGTCTGTGACACTGTGTCAGAAAAAAAGTTGTTCGCTAATCTGTAGTCGTTGAATATGTTATATGTACAATATAATATGTATTTAAGCATGTCAGTTAATTCGATATTTATAAAACAATAATTAATAGACTTAAACGAAAATGAAAAACTGGTTAATTAGATAGCGATAAATAATGAAATAACGAAGCTCCGCGTACAATATCTATAACTGTTTGAAATATGACGGAACACGTGTGGTTACATATTGTGGCTGGAAAATAATAAGTAGGTAGGTAAGGACTTCCGCGGAGATAGGGCGTTGTGCCGAGGATAATTCCGTCGGTAAACAAAATGTTTGCACGAACGATGAAAAATTGTGTCGGAAAAGTAGGGAGAGGGAAGGAAAAAAAAATAAAACTACCAACGAAAAGGCATATAAAAGGACCTACGATCCTTCTGCGGGGGATTGTGCGTGTACGGTGGAGGGGTGGCGGGGAGGCGCTGTGGATTAGGGTCCATTCGGATATTTACGATTTGGACGCATTAATGTGAGGCGGACGAGCTTAGTTCGCGTTTAAAGCCAGACATTCGTGGTGCTCCGGATAATCCCGGATTTGGTCCCACGGCTAATTCGCATCCATTCCGCGCGAAAAACTATAACAGGGGCACGCGACTCCGGTAATGTTCTCTCCTGCTGCGGGTGAGCATTATTTACCTATTACGTCTTCCTTCTACAAGCGCGCGTTCCTTCCGCACCGCCACCAACACTTGCGGCGTTATTAGCGGAAGCAAATTCGAATCGATTTTTATAATAATCAATTAATCGACTACGCCGCGAACATAATAAACGTGTAGGTGTACCGCGAAGGCTTAACAGTAAAAGCATATTATTATTATTGTATCAGTTATCACTGTTGCTGCTGCAGGGGACCGAGGTCTGAGTTCGTTGTTTTTCAATTCATTTGAGTAAAAAACGCTCGAGGGATACGAAACAGCTATAGGAACTTACAGAATGATTCATCCGCAAACTCGTCCCCCTCATTTTTTACTTTATAATAAAACACTTATTTTTATTTCAGATTTTTTGGAATATTTATTAATACCACCATATTTAAAACACTCTAGTTTTTGTAAAATTAAAAGAGTTTCCTGTAATGATTTAAACTATTTTTCCGCACCCTCTTGTAAATACTGTAAGTTTTTGAGCTCATGATATTTTTAAAAATTTTGATGCAACAAAAATCAAAAATAAAATTCGAACGAGATGTTTCTGAATCATTAAATTCTTCGTAATGATAAGGATAATAGTATTATTCTTAATGATATCAATTTACATGTAACATTTACTCTTATACTTATTATGCTCAGAAACTTAAAAAAAAAAAATTAAATACTAATGTAATATTAATCATAGTAATACTACTTTAGTACTTTTAAAATTAGTGTAGCTCTGATATCTGTCAACCAAATAAACCTATGTATAAATATATTATACATGCAAGTATTCTCTAAATATTTGAAAAAAATGATCATGGGTATATTTAAAGATCCAAAAAATCAGAATCTGAATAGTTGCTTTATTAATGAAAAATAGGGGGAAAGGGTGAGCGTGCTTGGTGAATCACCTTGAAGAATACAGTTGTACTATAAATATGTCTGTCACTCGTGTTTATAATACGAAATATACCGTCGCACAACGCTCGCAACTTATCGCAGGATAATATATCGATGATTTTCAACAGGAAGCGCCCATCACTAGTTAACATTAAGGTTCGCAAATGGAGGGATGTTTTTTTTCAGATCATTATTAATTTAAATATTTGATCTTTGGCCGTCAGTAAAACACTCATGCATATGCGTAACTCCTAGATAGTAATGCCTCCGCCTGGCAGAGTCCGCCTACATTGATATACATGTTTCATGACCATATAGTAGACGAGTTGTCAAGTTTATGCATGTGAACTACCGTAGGTCGGGACAACTGGCATGTTAAAGGATTTATATAGTAGGGATTTGAGCTCATAGACCGACCCTAGTCGTGCTGTTAATAGTTAATTTTGAAAAGATAAAAAAATATAATCGTATACAGTGAGTGACGATCGGCATAATGGAAACTGAATACATCTAGTCTTAAATTGTTTTTAACATTTTACTATGACTGTTTGAGTGTGAAATTAATAATGATAATACAACAAATTTAAGTCATAACAACATAAAATATCTCAATAATATAATTGAGAAATAAAGAATTAAATAAAGGCACTGTTTTGAAGATAGGAATGAAACCAACAATATCATTTAAAAATAATGTGAAGTTTAGGCGATTTTTGAAAATTTAAAACAAACGTAGAAGGACGATTTAAATAACTGTAAACAAAAAAATGTACGCTTCGTAGTATGTCCACGTAATAATATAGGGTTTTCAATAGCCTTGCGTTTTAGACGTGGATACGCGTATACTGTTTACGTATAAGTGTATAACGAAACCGGGATTGAAATCACGTCATGACTCATGAGTTATGATAGATATTTCATAATATGTTCATCAACCGATTAGATGAGAACGATGGACATTTTGTTATTGCAACGATAAAAATAGCCAATAGGTAGGTAAGTACAAAAATAATAGGAATCGCATGTTTTCCCAGCGAATTTGTCTCCGTCTTCTGTAATGGATCCGGCAACAAAATACAAACGGGCGAAACCGCTGCAGCAGGATCGAGCGAAAGGATTACGTCGAACTGATTGGGGCCGCGGGAATGGAAATTTAGGTTTTTTTCGAGCAATATTGTTTAAAGCGGGGTTAGGGTCGTGTATGTTCGGGGCAGACGGTAGACGTTTGATTAATGAACGGACATTAAAATTCAATTAAGCGCTTCGGAGGGATGCGGCGCTCGCGTAGGGGAGGCGCGGCCACTGTTGCGGGCACGCGGGTGTCGTCGTAACACAGCGAGTGTGTTGTATAATATAATAGTTGCAGTACGTGATATTAGCGGTAGTAGATATACACACACACACACACACACACACACACACACACACACACACACACACACCCACCCACCCATCCAGTGACACATACATATTGAATAGTACGATAGTGAGTCCTCCGGGAATGCGTTTATCGTGCAGTTTGCACTGTGTTTACACACAAAACCCTTTTGACTATGGGCTCCGTTTATCATCGTCTGCCCACACGACACGTGCCGGCTCGAAATCTAATTATCACGCGCTAAACCAACCACCAACGTACTGCTAAAAATTAACAATAGGTACCTAATAAAAAAACCAAAATTGTCACTTTATTCATCATTGGCGTATTTTGTCTTGAATAATTGTTTTTCATAACAGACTTGTAATTGATGCATGCTCGTTGTTATATTACAGGTTTTCGAGGACGTAGAAAAAACTTAACGCCGACGACACAACGACAGTAATGATGTGTGGTGAAAAAAAATCGAATTCTACATTACATTACGTTACAGGTAAAAAAATAATATAATATTAATAATAATATTGATATAAAAATAAACAGAGTGCCGACTAATAATTATTAATTATTAGTTGCGAATACGATGCTCCGGAAATTGAAATATACCCAAAACTCAAAACACTGAATCTTAACTATTTTTTTCAGGTGCCCTACTTGTATTTTGTTTATAGGCACATATTTTTAAGTGGGTAATTCAAACTTGTTTAGTTTTAATAATTTACTATTGTCGATACTAACAATATTAGTATGTTTTTTCAAGATAACTCAAATAAAACCTAAAAGTCATAATATATTATACATAATTTCAAGTTGCTACTGATGTGTGATCTAATTTTGGAATTTTGGATGTGCCTAATTTGGTAGCTATAATATGGTTTCCGTTTAATAATATTTTATTTTGAGTGCTGTGGTTATTAATTACCAATCGGGTCCGACAATAATTCGAAAAGTGTGATCCAATGCCAGAACGCATTTAACTGTATGTAATATACAGCTAAAATGTTATAACTACGTTGCTAATTTCAAAGAAATAAATTCATTAAGTTAATGATTTAAAAAAAAAAACGATACTAGAGAAGGTTTTTAAGACTTTTCTTTGAACCGTTTGTTAAATGACGAGAAATTCCGATAATTATTATATATATTTGATTTGCAGAAACATAATTCGGAAGTTTATAAAATTATTACACAATATTATTAAGTATATCATTGATTATATATATACATGTTTAATGTATCTAATATCTAAAGTATATTATTTAATCTATTGTAATATAGTTGAATAAAATACATTTTCTTTGCAGTGTTTTTCACTATACATAAAACTCGATATTATATAAATTATCAAAATGGATGTATACCTTAAGGGCTAAGTTTGAATTGAGTGCGTGCAAGTACCCATCAACTATAACTTTTTCAATAATATGACCAACCATATTAATATACATAATATGTCCATATCATAATAATATTATTACTTTATTAATTGGTCATACATGCTTGCTATTATAGTCTATAGACTATAGTGCATGTAGATTGTAGGTACCTGGCACATTAAAAATATGGGCGAGAACTTAATTTAAAAATACAAAACTAAATACTTACCGTTCGATACCATCCAGACGGGGATGTCGGTACTTGCGAGATAGAAGCAACCCTCCTCCCCAGGCAGCATCGATGTGGAGCCACATCTTATATTTTTCGCATATGTCCGCAATTTCGTTGATTGGATCAAATGCACCAAGAACGGTTGTGCCCGCAGTGGCAGTGACGAAAAATGGTATGTGGCCTTTGGATTTTCTTTCTAATATGAGGCGCTCCAGCTCAGAAGGAATCATGCGGCCCCTGTATCATAGTACAGTATAGTTACGTTCGTCAAAATGAAACTTTATTAAAAATTGAAACCAACTTTTAATCATAACCTAACGGTTTGTACCTATCATTAAAAAAATGTATTTATATTACAGATCTAGGAATCCAAAGTAAGTATTTATTGTACGTATTTATAATGAAAATCAATTATTCCATTCAGTAGATTAAATTTAAAAAAACAGTTGATCATAATTTAAGCTTGTATTATCAAAAGTTCTAACTTATGGTTTAATGCAAATATTTTATTTTTTAGTAATCGGATTAAGCTTTAAAGTATTATAGAAGGTACTACTGAGTACTGTCTACTGCTACCCATACGAGTGTACTCGTATAGTATTGACATTTATTAGATATTTCATATAGTCAAATCTGCTTGTATATTTAAGTACATAAAAATTATTCTTTAACAACATTTTTCAACTCAAATTGATTTGTTACAAAATAAAATAATTATTTATAATTGATCGACATATTACATTAAGTATTAGCTCACTACATAATGAGTTTTGAATTTTCTATAGATGGCAATAGTTTGAGTAAATATTGATGTAAAAGACAAATTCAAAGTGTGAATAGTTTTTTTAGGGGCCGAAAATATAAAAAACACCAATTTAAATCCTATTTTTAAATATTTAATGTACTTTAAAGTACATTTATATGCATTTCATAAGCACAATATTTTGATATAGTGTACACCTATATAATTACACGGATTACATGGTTCTGCAATCTGAGCGGAAGATGGAAAATTGTATTTTATGTTTGTATTTTATGGACACGACACGGCAATATGTTCAGAGGGAGCTAAGTATTTTTAATATACACATTCATGTGGGGTGGAGTTTCAACCCTACAATTACTTGTGGTACCATGTGATGGGCATTGCTCTTGAGATATAAAAGTTGGAAGATTTATGTGTATACAAATTACCATATTTCATTTAATAAAACCAAAACTACAGACGAAATTACACTTGAATTATTCGAATATGATATTTAATGTGATTTAACCGCGATCGAACAAAATTCCCTTGGCTGTCAAATCAATAGACACAGACTTTTTAACAGAACAGGTTCTATGGTGTATATTATTTCTATAACCAGTAGCACAATCATTGAAGTTGAAACCCTCTCCAAAATGTTTTTTAATTACAATTATAAATTGTTGAGAAATACAATTTAATTTTTAACCATGAGGCATATCAATTTTTATTTTTTATAAGTAATGACTAATGAGTAATGACCATGGATGTGGAAGTGTATGTAACCTTTTTTGTTTTGTATGACAAATTTAAACTTAATACATTTAAATAATATTATTAGTAGGTATAATATGTGAATGTGGTGTGCGGACATTTGATACATTTATATCGTTAAAGTTAATTGAAAACAAATTACAGATTATGAACATTTAATTTTAAGTAAAATGATGTTTAAAGACAGACGCATTTTATGAGCATAAGTAAGTTTATGGTTCAAATTATTATTGTGCGGTTTGCATATTGCAATGTGTTTTAATTATACATGTAATGATATAAATAATAGGATAAGTATTAAGTAGTTATTCAGGATCATAAAGTATGTTTATTTACCATATTTATGGAATATTCAATATAATATAAGTTATAATTTTGCAATTAATATTTTATTACCTACATTGGTACCTATACCATGTCAAAATTCAATTAAAGTATTATGGTCGTTAAATACAAAAATAATTTAAATTACTTTAGTAATGTATGATACACACCATTACACTAACATATTTTTTATCGTTTAGCTTGTAAATTGTAATAATACATATTTGCTATTTTTTTTTTATGAATTTATTACTAGTTTTATTACTTCTATCATAGCATTATTTTGTCATAATAATAAAGTTACTAATAATAAATTTTAAATAATTTGAATAAAATAGAACAAATTAATTATCTTCAATAAACTTATGTTCTATAAATTAAATTCAATATGGTAATATATGAACTAACCATATATGGTTTTAAGTAGTTATTAAACATTTTTAATTTAAAAAAGAATACAGTGAACCTAATCCTTATAATGTTATAGTCTAAATTTGTATATATAATAAGCTTTTATGAAAAAAACTAACTGAAAAAATTATTCAAATCATACAATCGATAAACCTGAAAATGACTTGGTATAAAAGCTAAACGTCAATCATTTATATTAAGGTTTTTTTTAATTTTATATAAATTACCATAATATTATAATTTATAGAAAACAAATTACGACAATATTAAAAAAAATAAATTAACGAAGTACTTGAAAGTTCAACTATAGTATAAGGCTAATAAGGCATTATAAGTCATTAGGTTTAAAAACTATAATCGTCATACTCTTAGATATTTACAATTCGAGTATTTTGTACTTTATTTTAATTAAATTATTTTTTTCAACACAAAAGTATTCCAAAAAATAATATAAATCGAATATTATTTGTAAAATTATACGATTAGAATATATTTTACCTTGCGTCACTTGGTACATCCACGCAATTTTCTGTTCCAAGTCCGCACACAGAAGCACAACTTTTAACCGAATAATGAGACTGAAAAAAAACAAGTTTATTGTAAATTAATATGATATTATAATTTATATTTATACCACAATCTCAACATCTCGTAGATAAATACGGTCTATGTTATCTTATTATATTTTTAATAATACAAATCGTTTGATCTTTTTTTTTCTGAATTTCCATATTTTTGTATGTATATTTAACAAAAGAAAAAGTAGTAATAAAAACTAAAAACTCTTTTAACGCATAGTGTCTACCAAAATATTTTTTAAATTTAAATAACGTGGCATTCTATCAGTGGAAGATAAAAAAAAGCAGTAACATCTGATATTATAGTATTATATAATGTACTACTGCAAATGATGAAATGTGCACATTTTTAGTAAAAATATTTACGAATAATATAAAATCTTAGCTAAAATGGTTTCTTATTTAGTATTTATTTATATCACAGAGGCACAGAACACTCGAGACAAAATCTTTTAATTTTTGTTATACCTATTCAGAAAAAAAAAATATATAATAATAGTTTTAATCTATAAAAAAGGACTGTAACATTAAAATTAAAAATAATAATTTTAAAATAAGCAGCAAAAAATTACCTACCAAATGGGCAATAGGTAGCCAAATTCTAATAGGGACGGTGTGATGGGGTAATATTACACTGAGTGGCAAAATTTTGGGAATGGAAAAATATGCTATCAGTCAGTTTTTGACTTGAAAGTGTATTGAAAATTAGATTTATGTCTCCAGTCTTTGGATATGATCAGTTATTGAATAGCAGTTATAACCTTATCGGTGTTAATTTTGATATACAAAGTAAAATAAGTCAAAAAATTTCTTTCAAAATATAATTTACGATGTTTGGGCTGTTTAAATTTGCTTACTCATTCAAACGAACCATAAAGCGTAGAACATCGTAATGCATCCGATTTGATTTTTGCAGCAACTAAAATCTGCTATACCTACGTGCAATCTTTTGTTTGGAATAATTATTTAGAATATAATATTTGATTTTGTATAAGAAAGTACAAAATTGAAAATATTGTGTTTATTGGATTTGGAAAACAATATTGCGTGCTTCTGTGTTTATTAGTCATTTAGCTCTCACTATCAACTATTAGTGTCTTAAATAATTCAAAATCAAAATCTTTTTGGTAAAAAGTTGAGCCCAAACAACCAAACGGCGTATCAATTTTCAGACAAAGTGTCGTGCGGCGCTGACACGTTACGCCCATGTATAGTTTTATCAAGGAGAGGCTCTTCGGGGAAAATGTCCCCTTTGCCACCCTTTTCTAACACGGCTATTTGCAATGCAACCACTTTACATACACATTACAGGTAAACCTACAAATTATAATCGGTATACATAAAACACAAAATAGTTACAACTGATGTACAACATCATAATTTGCTCTCTCTCTCTCTCTTTCTCTCACACACACACAAACACACACACACACACACACACACACACACACACACACACACACACACACACACACACACACGACTCATGTCGGTCGAGAATGTCACATTATGACCTGCGGGACTGCTGCTGTTTAGTTACCTATATATATTTTAAATAATACGCAGTAGACAATAGATTCGTTTTAGTCTCTGTACACATTATTATTATTATTATTATAGTTGTTATGTGTGCAGAAACCCATCGCGTTACTCGACATGCACGCCCGAACGAATCAAAATTCAAAGTGCTCCGGCACAGCAACATCTGGAGCCGTTCTCTTGTCACGGTTTTGTGTATGTACGCCTCGACGTTTCGATTTGTCGGGGCGGACGGAAATCGTAAGAGCGGTAAAAGGCGCCCGCGCACCCTTGTACTATATATAACTGTAAGGGTAGGAAAAAACCGTCTGTTTATTAAATATATGTATATATAGATTTAAGGCTTTAGGCTGAACGGCAAAAGTTCGCGTCAATATTATATATATATATATATATAATGACACTTCTATGCAGCGAGTTATATATATTAAAGCAGCAATGAGATCGTATATTTTATGATGGATAAAAATATTACTTTAGGCCAAAAATGTAATATCGTACTTATAAAACTGAATAAAATAGATTGCGATATTCTGCAGAGACGAAAATGATTAAAACCGTGAAAAAAAAATAATAAATCAAAATTCACTCTATCCTGTGTTGAGCAAAAAAAACTTTAATGATTAATCGATGATTAAAGTTTATAAAGATTGCATCTATAATTTTAAAATAACAATAAGTTTCAACAGATATAGGCCTACTTTTATTGAATTTTCAACACAAAACAATATGGATGAAGATTGATGTTAAAATAAATAAAATTTGGCTATGAAAAATTAGTTATACCTATAATAGGTAATTTAAATGATACTCCATAATAATTTTAAATATTTTATTTTTAATGATGGTGTTTGGCTTTATTTTCATTAATTATGAAATAATTTTTTAATTATTATTATGTTATATTGAACGATGATATACATGTATATATATTTTGACAAATTCAATAAATGTTCCTATATTTATTGAAATCTATGAATTTTAAATTATAGAAATAATCTTTAGATGCTTGATACTTAAGGTAATTTTTTTTTCACTGTCGTTACAGCTAAATGTGTATCAGATTTTTTCTTTATAGTGCATGATACTCTCTTTTGTTCTATGATAGTATGTGATGATTAATATAGTTTTAAAATCGGTTCAAACGTCGTTGTTGGTTTTGTCAACAACCTTACATTTTATATTTTTGACGTTAAAGTTTAAGAAAAGCCTACTAAGTTCATTTTTAGATAAAACTTCCCAATATATAATTCATATCTTTCTCAGAATCTGACAGTATAGTTTTTTTTGTACAGCACTGAGGGTGAATCTGTACAATATTTTGTCATATTATAGTTTTAAATACAAATATCAAATTAGGTATTTTAAGTATTAAAATAAAACATTTTTTATTTCGCAGAATGCTGTATCTACCTATTTAACTCGCTAAATACGTAGTTATTATTACAGAAGAGGCTACCGACCATTTTAATATCAATAGTTAAAAGTTTTGTACCTATACCATCATTGTATAGATACCATCTATAAAGTGAGAATATGGGGAAATGATATAAACTCACCAAAAACTAACATATTACCGAATAACCAAAATTATAGTTTTTTTTTTGAACAAGCGTATTTTAAAAAAGTTATTACTTTTTTTGTATTAGAGCTTTCAGTATGTTTGACAATTACATAATAACTTGTTACTTATTTCCTTATAATTTTGAAAATTACTTAAAAATGTTATTTAAGTTTTAAAAATCAAATAATTGTCTATCAAAAAAAAAAAATCTGTAATATTATAGGTACCTATTCTAAAATCATTGTCTGATGATTTATTATGTTATAGTTTGAGCATATAAACAAATGGGTCATACATACCTATTAATAGTTATTAATAAGATATTAGTTTTATTATAATTCATGATATTTCAGTCGATCGGAGAAAAACTGCCAGTACCTACTACCTTTATTAAAACCTGATATTCTATACCTAACATAATAAGTATAAACATTGTTGATTTAGTATGATAAGCATCATATATACTACTACCGTAGAATAGTTTAGAGGTTGAAAACCCACTAATTATAAGACCTATAACCAGCTGTTATTATACATATATAGTACATATACACAGAATATATCTCTATCAAAGTATTCCTCTATTAACTATTACCTCATAATCGTTACGCGCGCTGTGTTCCTCTGCAGCATATTGGGTTTGAATTTCGGCGACCGAATTCTGATTTACCCGACCTAGTAGTCACTCACTAGTCGTACATTTATGTGTACACATGATGCTGTCGGTGAGTCTGGCATTTGTGTTATTTTAAATTAAAAAAAGATCCAAAAATAAAATAAAAAATACACCCCTACAATGGTAATGCGCGCGGCATTACAGCGCTTAGGGCGGAACTCGCACACTCACACGCACATTGTGTATGCACATATTGTTCATTTCGGTAGACGAGTGAGCGTAGTTTAATTTCTAGTTCGCTGCACCGCATGCATGTGCATCGCAGGGACCGTCGATTGTTTTCTGTATGTCGAGCGATGTGTTATTAAAATAAAAATATGCCCTCATTCAAATTAATATTGGCGTTTGTACTATTCTAAAAACGCCAGGATGTTTTTTTTGTCAATTGATAAATAAGATCCTCCTCGAGAATAATTTATTATTGAAAACAAAAAACGGTACCTCTAGATATATATTTTTAATATAATACCCCCGTTCATTAATAATTAATAATAATAATAATAAAATATGATCGCAAAATTTTATAACATTCTGACTGCTGTTATACATATAGATAGGTGGTATAGGAGTATTATTATAACAATTAATTGACATAATTAAATATAGTATACATATTTTGCTTAACTGGACTTATGAATCAAACTACAAGGAGAAAAGCCAAAAAAATAATAATTCAAACCAGATGTACAACAACTACTCACAGAGGTATGTGATGCGCAAAAATATTTAATTTTAATTTTAAGGGATTTCTCGTTTATTCCTAGAATAAACTTACCATTTCCCCCAACATCATCACTAGTTTAATTGAGTTTCCTAATTTCATTATTATTATTATTAAATTATTATTTGACATTGCAGTAATTAAATGACTTGAGTTGGATATTTATAAGACCACAGTTGAAAATTGTAATTTCGTTTAGGTATATTTTATTATAGTTACTACCCACTGAAATAAACAATATACGGGAACCCACAAAAAGGAAGGGCGCATATAAATCTTAAAAAGAGTAACAGTCAGATTATATTACGATATGTATAAGAATGAACTAAAAAGTTATATTAAACTGCAGTTTTGAACCATTTTTATTAATTAGATATTTCTTTAACTGCAAGTAGTATAGTAATACCAAATTTATTGTTGCAAATATTTCGATTTATTCCTCCTCTTAAAATTATTCGATGGGTGCCTAAGAAAATTAATATTCGCTACTTAATTATGTATTACAAATTGAAGTTATTAAATATTACAAAATAACCGAAAATTGATAGGTTCATATTGCTGCCTGCAGTTACCATTATCGACATGATATTATTATTTATAAATGTATACATTTAAAATGGTAATATTATGCATGTACTATCGCTACACGAAATATATTTATACGCCCTAGCCAGTGTATAGTTGCACGTTTCGTGTAATTATATTTATTACCTACATACGAGTATTAATATTATATACCTAAGTGGTCTTTCGATGTCATAAATACTATATAAAATTCAGTATGCGCAGTAAGCGCAGAATCATCGTTTCGACAAATCTCACACAGAGTATTGGTACTATAACGGGCTCTACGGTGACAGACAGAATAGTTTCATTCACTGCTTTACCTATCTCTTTCCTACTATTTATGTACTAATCTAAACAATAATTTAAAGTTTCAAACGGGCAGACGATTTATCGACAATGAGCAGTGTTTTATCCGCGTGCAACTCCTCTGAGAATGGCGTATTTGGTGGTAAAATAATAATAAATGTACAGAGCACGTTACAATAATATATATACGTCCGCCGCAATCTAATCCTCTCATTTGTCTGCCGCTCGTCATGTCAACCGAAACTGTCGGCCCGCGTCAGTGTAAACGGGCTCAACGGTAGGTACCTATTCCGTCAGTGTCGAAAAACGACTTACCCCTCCCCAACCCAAACGTTTTTGAAAACCGTAACCGTGACACGCGCGACAGACAGCAGCTGTCCGACAAACGTTTAAACAACGCGGTACAGTTTATATTGCAATTGTATGTATATTATGTGATACGAAACGGATTGCTGATAGTCCTCACTTGGTTCGACGTGTACATGACCAGTTGTCCCTTGATCGAGTGAAGTCCTTGTTCCTTGTATCCCGGGAACATTTTGTGCCGGGCTGCCAAAAACGCGTACATATTCGATATCGATCCACCTGCCGGAAAAACATGATCGCAGTGTTTAATCCAACTGTATATAGAAATAAAAATTAAACAACAATCCACCTGCGCGAATCCCCGCCGCACTTTCCCTGATTTACAATTTCCCGATTAAAGTGTTTCCCTCGTAATATTTTTCCTACAAAATTATTGTTCCCATGCAAAACATTCCTATATTTTGCTTTTCCGTTTTTAACATTTCCTATATGAATTACATTTCTGTATATTATAGCCCCCTCTCCCCGATCCACAATGATGAATTATTGTTAATCGTCTTATACTATAATATGTCTTATAACATCGATATTAATAAAATGTCACCTGGAGCAAAAATCGAGTCCCCGGTCTTCCACCCGATGATTTCCCTCATCTTGGCCAACACCACGTTTTCCATGAGAATAAACACCGGAGCGATTTCGTAAGTGAACATGTTCGTGTTTGCCGTTGCCGTAAGCCATTCGCCGGCCATGGACACGATGTCCAAACCACATGACAGCTGATTGAAAAATCTCGGATGTCCTGCAATGTAAAAACGACTTATATAATATATATTAATACACACTGTATTATTATTTATTTTTATAATAGGTATATTATAAGTGGCATTATGAGTGTCAGAGTGTATCACGAAATAATGTGAGCGATCGATATTCGTATAACAATAGATTATATTATATTTGTATACTAGCTATTATTTATTATGCTATGTTATAGGCAGGGACATTTAAATTTTGAGCCCAAAAACACACCTCTATGGAGAACAGTGATTACTTGGTAATAGTTGGAATACAACTCAACAAGAAATAAGAAAATGCAAGTTACACAAAGTGTTATAATAAACAATATTTAGGAGATAATGACGCATCATTGTTTTTTATAATAGTGCATGGAAACATTTTACAGCTCCTTAAAATTAAAAAAATATTAAGTATTATATTTTATAAAACCGGATATACATAATATATATATATATATATATTTCACTTTTTTTTCGATTTTATAATAACTATAGCTCTAAAATCGAGCTATTTGTGATAATAGACAGATAAGCATACTATATTACTATGCAACTATATGTAAAATACTTTTAATTGGTGTTAAAATGTTTAAGTTTATTTTTCTTGATTAACGTTAAAACTGTTCATTTAAGTCTTTTGAAGAACAAGGATGAAAAGTTGTTATATAGTTGTGATATTATAAGTATTATTGCGGTTTTTGACATTTGGATAGTTTTCAAAAAATTATGTTTATGATATTATGTTACAGTCCACCACCAGGCGTAATATATATGGATTGGTGATAAATAATATACATAGCTATAATCTTACTTATGTCTTAAATATATTACATTGACTCCAGTGCACTTACATTTCTAATTTCTAAAATGATGTGTAGTAGGCTAGGTAGGTAGCCATAATGTACTATTTATTTCTCTAGCAACGCGAGTAATGTAATAGGTAGAAGGTACTAATGGTACTATATTCAAACAGTTTTCCCATCAGTGGTTTTCACACCAGTTTTGTAGTGTAAATTTTCTGCTTATTTTCTAGTTCCGATTTACAGTATAAAAAAATAGTTCCTATATAAATTATAATGGGCAGGCATCACGACTATCGTCTGAAATACCAACTACGGTGAAAATTCGAATATGTGTATACGTGTGTAATGTATATACGCATTCCAAACATCACCTCATCCCCTTCGAAAGAAAGCATTTACAAATGAAGCTCTGAGATTACTTCGAACAGGACCTTTCGCCGAAATAATTAAACAAGAGCATCCCTTAAACTATTTTTTTTTCTTCCAGCGGTGGATTTCAATTCCAATCGTCCCTTTTACCCCGGCGATGTGTATGTATAGATATATGTACTCGCTGGGTGATCGAGATATATTGTATACGAAAGTCCCCTCGACGAACCAAACACACATTATTATACACGGCGACAATACGATTTTTTTGGGGGCAGTAAAAAAAAGCTGTTTATGCTCGTACTCGCGTATACTATACAATAACCAGAATGCGATACGATATCATCGGGCGAATAATATTATAACACTGCGCTTTAGGTCTTTGTACCGATATTATATTATTATAAAGTTCGTTTCACCCAATGAGGAAATGACGGACGACGGCGGCGGCGCTGACCGCGCTATCGGTAGGAAATGAACGTTCCCGGCGGGCCGGAACTAGCTGACGACACGCGTCGATAACAACCACCGTTTATGATAATATTATAATACCTAGTATATGATAACGAAAATAATAATAATATCGGGGCGAACGACGATCGTGAAGACGTCGTGGCTGAAAACGATCGATCTATATTCGCGTGGTTATCGTCGAATAAATCATCGGATGTTTTATGTCATCCCCTCCGCCGGAGCCCACCACGGTGGGTTGGTTTTGATTGGTAGGGGGTAACATGGGTGGGGGGGCGTCCGGGAGTGTGTATGTTTGGTGTAAATAAATAACGTAAAAAAAAATATTGTTTCATTGAATCTCTTCGGCACACGTGACAGCAGCGACGCGACTTATATATATATGACCGTATATTATATTATATTATATTATATACACAGCCACAGACCCCACTCGACCGGGCGACTCAACCACTCCTCACACCACCTCGCCAATCTCCGCCCCCGCCACAGAGGTTTGCCGATAAGAGCGAGCGGTTTGAATAGCAGCTTGTTAGACGTCATTAACACTGAACGCCAGTTCTCATCAATCATGCACCGGAGCGCGTGCCGAAACTTTCGCCGCGCCTGTTTAGTATGTATGTATATATGAAAAACAATAATATATATGCCAAGACCGTCCAACCCACCCCCATCCACCCCTGGGACCACTTAATAGCCCATCCTCACTCACACACACACTTTCTCCCTCGTACGAGCGTTTTTACCAGAAAAGTATGTGCACACGATCCCTTCGGACGGGTCGCCCCCGTTCAGATTCTTTGCAAAACATATATTATACACTTCCGATGTGACCGGAAAATAAATCGGATATACACCGTCGCCTCTGCAGGTAGTGTTGGCGTGTGCATACAATAGTGTGTGTTTATATATTTTTTTTACGTAACCCGTGAACAGTCGTTCATTTATTTTGTAGCCTCCGCTGTGTAGGCGATAAGTCAACGTCCGTCACGCGGCAACCCCGTGAATAGCTATCGCTCTTATATACCACCACTACCTGTATTATGTAATATATAACTTAGCTATATTATTAGTGATTTTTCTTCTGTACAAATGTAGATTTATGATTTAGTTTTCCATTCGCCGTAAGCGTTATTATAATTTAATAGTTTTATAGCACTTAAAAGCATATAATATTTTTATTTAAGTGCTGAAAAACTTTAAGTGAAAACCAGATTAAAATGCTTGTCTAAGAAGTTCATAAACGTTTTAATAATAATCTATGAATGATAGTTAATAAAATACCTAATGTCATAAAATAAATCAAGTCATGTTTTTTTACATTGAATTCTAATATTTCTTATGTTGGACTATATTTTGCCATAAATTGCAAAATAAAATAACTATTGATTCATTTTCAAGTCAATTTACTGATAACTTACATAAAAAAAGCTGTCTGTCTATATTCTTCCTAGTTAATATTATTTTATAATTATCTGTATGATGGAATTTTATTAAAAAAGTTTAATAATAATACTAAAGAATTCGAAAAGCTTAAAGGATTATTTTTTTTCCTATTATAAGAGAAGCCATGGTTATTTTTTCAGACCGTGTCAAATTTAAATTAATATTTTATTTGACAAATTGAGATTCCATCGTTATTGGCCAGTATTAATAAGGGGCAACAGAAAATTTTTTTTTCAGAGATTGATGTATAAAAATCTAATACTATAGAATGTATTAATTTATATTTAAATTATGCATTCAAAGTAAATATCTAATAAAGTATTAAAGAATTTTAAAATGATAGTTGATTGGTAAAATTATTTTGAGTACCTACCTACTAATTATATAAATAGTTTGTGTAGTTTTCTAAACGCGTTCTTATTTTTTTAGCAATATTGGTTATTTAAACTCAGCTGTACGCATCTTAAAACCTAAAACTTAACGTCCTGTTACCAATAGGAAAATATAAACGAATTAAAATATTACTTCGTTCTACTACTAGAAAAAAAAAAAATAATAATAATATAACTGTAAAACCATTACATTACTTGCATATATCAGAATCTAAAATTAATATTAAGAGTGATGGAGTGTAGCATGTTTTAAGGAGTAATTTTTAGGCAATTCATATGACGTGTACATATTTTAGGCTGTGTCAATGAGACATGAGTACATGAGCAGTAAATTAACAATAATGGATGTCATCCGTTATCGTTTTTAACTCCCACACGCGCTTGCATATGTCAATACGTCACGGAAAAAGAAATACATTTTTGTTTCCATAACTGGAAAAACTACAAAATGCATACTATATTTACTTCCTGAAGTTCAATTTTTAATCTCGAAAAAAATAGTTGAATTCATAAGTTTCTAGACTACGTTATTAATAGGAATAATTTTTCTATTTAAAATCTGATGTTCCCAAAAATAAATACATATATTTCACGGATTATTAATAATAATATATTAATTTTAAAGTTCTTTAAAATTGAAAATCGACTTCTAAGGATTAGATTACATTTTTGAATATTTATATATGAAAATTTCGACGTTTAACATTTTTATATTTTACTTTTTAGATTCGAATATTCGACAGTTAAATATTATTGAGTACCTACCAATCTCTAATCAATCAGTTTTAGTTTAATTTTAATTTGTAATAGTTTATGAATTCATATTTATAAATAATTGATCTATATAATAATAAACTCAAATCAAGAATACCCAAATATTTTATTATAATTAAAATAAATTTTGATTTTAAACAGAATAGATTATTTTTAACATCATTTTATTTTGGATTGGATGTTTGTTGTATCGACAGATTTTTGTAAGGTTTTTGTTGTCATGTTTACTTATCAACAAAAATGTATTTATGATTCATAGATTTTTCTTGTAGCGGAAAAACATGAAGTTTTGTGCTGTTTTTACAATTTTATACTTTTATCGATAACAATTTGATAATTTATGTAACCATTTATTAACTTTGAGGTTCATAACCTACTCAACTAAATAATTTTAATAATCAACAATAGTCAATATGCTTAATACTACTAGCTTTATTAAATAGTTTTAACTAAAAAATTTTGAACACATTAATACTTTAAGTTATAATATAAGTATATATAATGTAAAAATAATAATATAATAAAAAAAAATGATTTTATATTTTATGAATTTACAAAAATAAATTAATGTTTAATATGTGAACTATATATATATATTAATGAATAATTACATATGCTATCATATCGGTTTTTTTTTTACTGTTAATTCAAAAAGTTTAATTTAAAAATTCTAAAAGCTTCGGAAAATTGTTGTACTGGAAATGGAATTAAAAAGTTTCTAGGAAATTATTTTGTGCGCGATAATAA